GGGGAGGCGGGGGGGAGGGGCAGGGGTGGTGAGGGCTCTTCCAGCTCAGTGTCCCTCCTGGCTGAGTCCCCAACTGTCCCCTCAGCACCTGCAGGGCTCTCCAGTCTCCTGAGTCCCCACCCGGCTCACCCTGCCAGCCTGTAGGTGCTCTGGAGGCTTCAGCTCCAGCGTCCTGGCTTCCAGGACCCGGTCTGCTGGGGGTGGGGAGGGAGGAAGAAAGGCGCTTGGGACTGGTACGCAGGGTGGGGCAAGAATTGCCTCCGTAGCCACTCAAACCCAGAAGTTTCTTCTTGTTCCTGCAAGAATGTCTGTTGCAACCTGTTATTCAGGTTACAGAGCTGTGGGGCAAAGGCAGGGGGAGAAAGGTCTGACTGCCCTTGCACACATATGGTGGCCCCAGGGTGGTATGTGGTCACAGGGCTGGTGGGGTGGGAGGGTGGAGGGTGGGAAGGAGGGGATGGAGGTGGAGGGGTGGGGAGGGGGAAGGCAGAACCTATGGCCCACCCTCATTGCCCCGAGCCTCTCCCTTTGTCCTGCCCCTCCCCTTGGACCCCATTGGATTTCTGGCAGCAGGTCTGGCCGTGTACATAAGCCACGAGCAGGCTTTCCTTTTCTAGGGCAGGCCTGGTCTTCTGCAGGCCCCGTACAACGCTGAACACAGAGGAAGTGCTCCATGAATATTTGGGGCCTGAATGAACTGGATTCTTGCATAGTCCTGAAACATTAGGACAATGAAACCACTGTGTAGAGAAGGAAGCTGAAGTTCAGAGAGGGCAAGTGACTTGTCTAAGGCCACACAGCCACTTGTGGATTTCATTTCTGAAGCAGTCTCTGAGCAGTCATGGGAAGGCAGGCTGTGCATTAGGCAGGGGGTATGGCTATGAGCAAGACATTCTCTGAAGCATCCCTGAGCCTTTGTACTGCTAGTCCCTGTCTGTCTCTTTGCCTGGAACACTCCTACTTAGACTTCAGGTCTCAGTGGAGAAGTCACTTCCTCTGGGAAGCCTTTCCTGACACCCCCCCCCAAATCAAGGTTAAACACCTACCTGTGGTCCTGGATGAGGGGAAACCCATCACAGCCCCCCATCCTGTCAAGAGCAGCTGGTCAGTCAGTGCACTGTGATTTCTCTGGGGTTGGGTCATGAGGGGGCATGTGACCCAAGGAAGGCCAATCAGAGTTTTCCCTGGGACAGATCTTGGAAACTGGGGAGAGAGGAGCTATTTTTTCCCTGATGACTCTAAGCTGGACGTCTGTGAATCTGAGGCTGCTGGAGCCCCTTTCTCAGCTACTCCAACGTCCTGCCAGAAGATGCAGATACCAGGCTGAGCATGGGGCAGTGCTTGTGGCCTTGGTCTTGAGAGGACCAGGGAGGAAGAAGCGTGTGACATCAGGAAAGAGGATGCACTTTGGGTCCATCAGACAGACCTGCATTTGTCACTTGGTACTTGTGTGTTTTGGGGCACACCTCTCTGGGCCCTGGTTTCCTCCCGTGTAAAATGAGGGTGCTGCCATCTACCTGTCTTGAAAGGGGTGTCAGGCAGGGAGGCCGCCTGTCTATGAGGGCTTTGCTGGCCTGATGACATCCCTCCCATCCCTCCTCCCTGTTGGCAGGCCCCATTCACCCTGCCGCTTCCTGCTAGAACACCTTGGCAGGATTCCTATCCGGATGTTTGCTCTTCCTACGGAACCAAAATGCCATCACAGCCTGCTTGTTTGTGACATTTCTTAATGGTCCTATAAGAGCTGGGACATCAGTTTCTTCCTGTTTCCTGGAGTCCTCTATACTCAGGTGCCTTTGAGCTCAGCCATGACCTGTCCCAGAGCCAAGATGAATGGAGAAAGGATTACTCTCTGTCCAGGCTAGGAGGGTTGAGGAAAGCACCCTGATGGAGAAATAAATGGGTATTTCTCCTGCTTAAGTCTGGTCTCTGGTCCCTAAGGCCCTTAGGATAAAGGCCAATGTATTTCACGTGGCTTATAAGGCCTTGCATGATTTACATCCTGGCACAAGATTCCTTGCCCACCTCATCATCTGCTGTCCCCACTTCACTTTCTGCTCTAGATGCCCAGAGCTGCCCTGAATGAGGCTCTCTCCCTCACCAGCTTTGCACATGCTGTTCTCTATGTGGACTGCCCTTCCCTGACTCACCCACTCGGGCAACTCCTCCTCGGCCTCAGGTCCTCACCTAAGCAGCCCTTTGTCATTGGAAAGACAATTCAGAAGCTATTTCCTAGTTCATCATAAGGATCCAGGCTCAGCCAACAGTCACTTCTGAATCAGCCCTAAGCCACAGGCAAAATGGAAAGAGCTCCATGAACATGCTCTGCATTTTCCCTGACATGGGCATTAGCCACAGGTTCAACTGTGTTCTCCATGTAGCAGGTCATTTCTAAGGAGGCGTGAGCTGGAGGCCTGATCCGGAGCTTGGAGAAATCAGGTTGCAAATAGCAACAACTGTAGCTCGCGGGCTGCGCTCCTATTAGCTTTGGCCCTTCAGCCTTCCCAGCCCCTGCTGGCAATCAGGTTTCCCACTCTGCCCGGACCCATACCTCAAATGACTGCCTGAGTTCCAGAGCAGAAAGACACCCAAACTCACTTTTTAGCTAATAATCAAAATAATGAATTATCAAGAAAATAATAAAACTAGCTACCACGTATTGAGTGCTTACCGTGCGGCTGGAGTTAGGCTAAGAATTTTACATATATATCTTGCCGAATCCCCGCGGCAACCCCGTGAGTTGGATCCTACTGTCTCCTCTTCTCCGAGGAGGAAGCCGAGGCCTGGAGGGGGTGAGTGAACAGACTCAGCTATGGGGGCAGAGCTGAGAGTCACACCCTCAGCTGCGGTCAGCAGATGGGGGACCACACTAGCATCTGGCAGGCCTGAGGCTGACCCACACTCACCAGATTCCAACAAGGAAGGGCACTGGGTCCGAGGGAGCTCCGTGTGCCTAGGAGTAAGGTTTGACTCTTGAAAAAGTCGGTACTTTAACTGGAACTCAAAGGATAATTCTGTATCAAGGACAGGTCCTATCCCCAGACCATGAAGGCTCACATTTCCCTTCATTTGAGCAATGGAACTTTTGGGGCAGGGACGGCCCAGATGAGCATTTGGGCAGCTACTCCGTGACACCTATCCACGGCAGACCTAATGAAGCCAGCACAGTGCCTTTTCTGGCGAGGAGCAGAGGAGGGCTCGGACTCTTTCCCACCGGAGTCCAGGGACTGGTATGTGAGCTGCGTCATCCTAAGAGTGGGGACTTCTCAGTGTGGGGCAAGGGCCAGGTGGACTGGGAGCGGGGTCCTCTGCACAGCATTGGCCTTCTGGAACCAGAGGAAACCTGCTGGATGTGAGGAAGCCTCTCTCTCCTCATAGACAAGTCTGAGACAGCACAAGGTCATGAGCTGAGCAGGTCTGAGGCCTCCGATTCTGCTTGGTCAGGAGTTATTGGGGGATCTCTGTGACATCTTTTTTTTTTTATAAGATTATTTATTTATTTATTTGACAGAGAGACACAGTGAGAGAGGGAACACAAAGACGGGGAGGGGGAGGGGGAGAGAGAGAAGCAGGCTTCCTGCTGAGCAGGGAGCCCGATGTGGGGCTCGATCCCAGGACCCCGGGATCATGACCTCAGCCGAAGGCAGACGCTTAACGACTGAGCCACCCAGGTGCCCCTCTGTGACATCTTTTTTAAAAAAAATCCAACTCAATAATTCACCCTACATTTCCTGAGACGCTCCTCTGTGCCATCATAATGCTGAGGGCCTGGGACAGAGCAGAGAACTGATAAGGTTCTCACCTTCTGGAAACACACAGCGTCAGGTGGGAGGGACAGGTATGTGGATGGTGCAGGGGAATGGGTGCTCAGGTAGGGTTCCTTCAGGGAACCTCCTGGCCAGGGGGGCTGTCAGAGAAGACTTCCAGGAGGAAGTGGCATCTTGGCAGATGGAGTTCTCTTGGAAAGTGTTCCAGGCAGAGGGAACAGCATGTGCAGACGCTCAGAGGAGAGGCAGAACCGGAAACTCTGACTGTAGAGACCAAAATGAAGGGAGAAGGGGACTGTTCATTAGACTAATTATACATTAGGCTAATTATACATTAGCCCTTAAGGGCTGGGCTCATATAATGACCTTGGGCTTTGTTCTGAGGGTGATGAGGGAGTCACAGGAAGAATTAAACCAGGCCAGTGATAAAACCTCAGCTCAGTGTGGAGAAGGTAGCACCTCCTCCAAGAAGCCTTCCCTGACCCCTGGCTCCTCCATTAAGGAATCCCTCCTTCATGCTTCATGGTCATGCTTCATGTCAGCCTAATTTGGGGCCAGCTTCCTCTCGAGGCAGTGGCTCCTGAGGGCCCTCTTCATGCATGTCCCTGATGCTAGCTCCAAGGCACATAGTAGGTATGCAGTACGTGTCCTTAGAGGGAAGCGAGTGGCTTTCTGTTTGGGAAAGAAACTAAGGGAGAAAAGACCCCAAACACACCACGGATGCTCCCTCCATCTAAGTGGTTTCTTCCTTTACCCCACGCCCCACAGTGTTCTCCAAAGTGAACTCTGTCCAGAGGACAAGCTCAGACTTTAGAATCTAAGTAGCCTCTTCTGGCTAAATGCAACCTCAGGCCATTTTCCTCATCATCCCTGGAAATTCTGCGGACTAAATGTTGTCTCCAAAGGCCATGGGGCACTATCTGCTCGTCCATGGGCTTCTTTCTGTCCCCCCCCACCGCCCCCAGGCAGGATTCCCCACAAGGGACGAATTCTGCATGCACCGGGGTGGGAGGTGGAGGCTGCAGAGGGGGCCACAGGGCCTGAGGGAGACACTCAGCACATAAAGGAGACCGAGGGAGAGGGACAGGACAGAACGAAAAAGAAGCAGAGACCCTGAAAGACTGAGAATGGCAGACACATTGACAGACACACACATGCACTAGCACGAGGCCACGCATGTGTGCAGGCACGTGCACATACACACGGGAGTCAGGTGCTGCTAAGAGTCCTACCTGGGACCAGGGGACATGTGTGGTCCTGCCCAGACCCGGTTGCCACTTGCCCTGAGTTTCCAGTCGTCCCCGAAGGCCACCCTGAATCCTGACCGTGTGCCGCAAACAGCAGAACCAGAGGCTGCCTTTCATTCTCTAAATGGTCCTTCTTGTAAACCCCTGGTATTTATAGGCAATTACTGATCATGTCACCAACACAGA